GTCCATGGCCGGTCGGGCGCGCATTCGGAGGCTCGGTGTCGTAGGGGTCGTCTCGGGGCCGACAACACAGCACCGCAGGGCCGGACCCGAGATTGGGGCGAGCCTGGTCCTAGCCGGTCTACACTCAGCCAAGAGTCCCCGCCCTCACCTGCGCCCGGTGTCACCGCCCCTCCTGCCCCGCCCCTTCCTGGTATCCACTCCCCCGTGGCCCTGCCTCCCTTCCCCGCTCCTCACCTGACTCCCACCGTGTGCACCTGCTTGGTGTCACCGCCCTGTACACGCCCCACATCCAGCGGCCAGCAGGGGTGGGAGCGCCTGGCTCACCAAGGCGCTATTTCCTGTCTCCAAGGCCCAACAGTCACTTCTGGACGCGGGAGCTTCTCAGAGAACAGAGGGAAGGGCTCCTCCTCCAGCGGGGGTCTCCTGTTCTTTGAATTCTTCAGGTGATCTCAGGGTGTTCCGAAATATTTAACTTTAATTTCCTCAGTCATTGCCTGAGCTCCTATTACCAGAAAGGAAGAGGATGAGAAGGGGAAAACGCATCTCACAGCAGCTTACTGGAAACTGGGCGATGGGGAGACCGTGCTGCCCAGGGTAGATCAGCCTAGGAATGCTAAAAGTGCCAAAGGTATTTCCAAAATTCCATTCTTTCCAAAAGTTGGACAAATGACAGAGTAAGCACACCTGCCAGACTAGTGAGATAGGCGTGTTGCCCCCTGGAGGAGGCGACCCCGGGACGCAAAGTCCTCTGGAGGACTGCGTGGCCTGGATGCCTGGTGCCTGTCCAAGGAGAGAGGACCCAGCACTGTCAGGGGTCCCAGAGCGGGAGAGGCACCCAGGTAACCAGTCCTCAGGAAAGACCCAGGTTCCCAAATAACCAGAGTGGGAAATGTGTGAGAGACTAGAGAAAATGAGATAGAGGCTGTGCCTGTGGGTGGGGGCCTGTGCTCCACATAGGACGTGGTGGATGAGCCAGGTCACACAAGTGGGCTGCTCTCTGCCCACCAGGCCTAGGGTTGGGTCAGCATTTTGCTTTTCTGGCCTGAAAGCTCCTTGGGCAGCCACAGCAGGTAGGAAAGACCCTCCCCACAAGGGCTCTGGAGCTTGTCCAGCCTGGACACCTAGCCATGTTCCTTGGGCAGGTGGCTCAGTTTTCAGTGTCGTGGTTTTGTCAGCTACAAACACCTCATGCTCATAGCTGAGGACCCTCATTGCATCAGAGTGCATGCTGAGTGTGGCCTGAAAGACCCCCAAGACCCAAGACTTACATAGAGAATAGCATAAAATATTTTGACACATAGGAGTGGGGACCTCAGTAGAGACATGCTGTGTTTAGGATATTGTAAAGTTGTGAATTGTCTGTGAACTTAAAGAGAAATCAGAGACTGAGAAATGCAATCCAAATGGAGACAAGTGTCCAGTTTGTTTCCCTCCAGAAACTTAACAAGCAACTTAAAACATCATTTGCAAAGGAAAAGAAACAGTCCTTTGGGCAGTTCCATTGGCCTCAAGGGGCCACTGAATGCCTATCGTGTCTGGTCTAAACTAAGACACAGTGTGTCACATTTTATGTTGAAGGAACTTTGTATACATTGCATTAAATAAAATCCACCGCTAAAATTTTTAAATACACTAAATGTCCAAAAATAGTTAAGGGCCGGGGATTTAGCTCAACTGTTCAGTGGCCTGCCTTGCAAGCACAAGGACCCAAGTTCAATCCCTGCTACAAAAAAAAACAAAAAAACAAAAAAAACAACAAAATTAGTTAAGAAATTTTTAAAAAAAAGTAAACCAGGAGAAAGGGATTGTCTTCCCTAACAGATACCCAAGACTCATTATAGAGTTATTGTTAGGAAATTGTACATGTTACTTTAAACTCCTCCATTTTATACCTGACTTCCGGGTTCTTCCTAACTTAAATTTTGTTTTCCCAACTTAAGTTTCATTTTCCCAATTTAAGTTTCGTTTTCCTCCCCGGGGCCCAGGTCCTCTGTCCCTCAGTTTTGGCAAACTGGGTTTGCCACCGTTGAGTCTGGGACTCAACTGAACTAAGCTCGGGACTTAGTTCTCATAAATTCCTATCTTGTGTAAGGGACGCCTTCGTGGGAGACCAAATTTCAACTTTCTAGACCGGGTCTAGAAAAAGAGGAGTTTTATCAGAACTCTCGGAGATGTCTGGTCTTCTGATAACCTCCTGTCCTGGTGGTCATGGGCTCTGGCTCCTCTATACCCACCATTCCATACCTGCAGACTCTCCTTTGGGATGCTTACTCAGGAATTTGGAGGGTCTTGATTTAAAACTCAAATGGCTACTTCGCTTGTCTACTCAAATTTGGCCCCAATATCTAGGCAATCAAAACGTCTGGCCACCTAATGGCTCCTTTGAATCGGGTCTAATTAGAGACCTTTACAACTTATGTGAGTGACAAGGAAAATGGTCGGAGATCCCATATGTCCAAGGCTTTTCCTATCTTGCTAATCAGCCCTCTCTCTGTTCTGCTGCCAAAACTGCTCCAATACTTCTGCTGACCCAAGGTCTTTCCACCACCAGCTCCCCTTCTTCTGACTCCCCCACTCAACCAGACCCGGCAGATGACCCTCCCCCATACCGGACAGCCAGAAACCCACTCACCCCTCCTCCTACACCATCTGACTCCTCCCCTCCTCTGCAATCTCCTACCCCTCCCATTTCTTCTGACTCACCGACCACCCTACCGTATGCTCCACCTCTCACCTGCTCCAAGACACACAAGGGCCACATGATGGCACTCTTGCGTGAAGTAGCCGGAGCTGAAGGAATTGTCTGCCTTCATACTCCTTTTCCTGTGTCTGAACTAGCTCTCATTCAGGCCAGACTTGGTTCTTTTACAGCCGATCCAACAACCTTTATAAAACAATTTCAACTTTTGACTCAATCTTATCAACTAAATTACCATGATCTCTTTGTAGTTTTACCAATGCCTTAACTCCCGAGGAAAATAGAAGAGTGCTGGATCAGGCTTGTGCACATGCAGACCAAGAACATTTAACCAACAATCACCACCCCGGCAGGTGCCGCTGCAGTCCCTGATCAGGACCCAGAATGGGAGTACAGCACAGAGGTGGGAATTGAAGCTTGAAACAGGCACATTAATTGTCTCCTTCATGGGCTCCACAGAGCCACCATGAAGTCCATTAATTATGAAAAGCTTAATGAGATCATACATAATAAAAATGAAAATCCATCCGCCTTTTTACAAAGGCTGACTGATGGCCTCCGTCAACATGCCAAACTAGACCCTGAATCTGTGGATGGTCAGAGATTAATTATGATGCATTTCTTTTCTCAGAGCTACCCCAACATTAGACTTAAACTAAAAAAGCTTGACAGAGGGCCCTTGACCCCTCCGGCAGAGGTCCTGGCTACAGCATTCAAGACCTACCATGGCTGAGATGACCTTAAAGCTACAAAAAAAAATCAATTATTAGCACAGGCTCTTAATTCGACCAGTCCACCTGTGCCACAGGGAAGAAAAACCCTACAAAAGGGCTCCCAACCACCAGGCCCCTGTTACAGGTGTAATCAGGAAGGCCACTGGGCAAAGGACTGTCCTAATCCCAAGGTGCCAACTAAGCCCTGTCCCAAATGTCACCAGAGGGGACATTGGGGTATAGACTGTCCCTTGGTGTCCAACCATCATTTGATCATCAGCCCCACAGCTCCCCAACCTGTGGACCTGATAGGTCTAGCAACAACTGAGGGACTATGAAGAGGCCCTGACACACCTGGCCCAACGCGGATCAGGGTAACCTTAACTGTGGCAGGTAGGACCATTTCTTTCTTATTGGATACTGGTGCCAGCTTCTCTGCATTATGAGAATACTGGGGGCCTACCTCCCTTTCTCAGACTTCTATTGTTGGGGTAGAAGGCCAACTACAGCACCCTCTCCAGACTCCCTTACTGTCATGCACAATTGGCAATTTTCCATTTCTTCATTCAGTCCTAGTTCTCCCATCCTGCCCGGTCCCTTTATTGGGCCATGATATTTTATCCCAAATTGGAAAATCCATTCATTTTTCTATGCCGAGCCCTTCCAACACTCTGACAGCTTCCTCTGCCTGGTATTATGCCAAGCCCTCCAATCTCCATCTTCCCAATCCAACTGGCCAATTAATCCCTCTCTCGTTAATCCTCAAGTGTGGGATATTCACTCTCCCTCAATAGCCAAATGTCCCCCTGTCAGAATTCTCCTTAACAATCCCTCACAATTCCCTAGCTTGGCACAATATCCCCTCCCCTACTCTAGCTTAGAGGGACTAACTCCCACAGTACATGATCTCTTACAAAAGGGACTCCTGAGACATGCCAACTCTCCCTTTAACACTCCCATTTTAGCAGTAAAAAAACCCAATGGGACATACGGATTAGTTCAGGACCTTAGGATCATTAATTCAGCTGTTGTTCCCATATATCCTATCGTGCCAAACCCATATACCCTCCTGTCTTCCATCCGATCTGATGCCACTTATTTTTCTGTTTTAGACCTCAAAGATGCATTCTTTTCTATCCCCTTACATAAAGACTCTCAAGATATTTTCGCATTCACCTGGACTGATCCCTTCACCAATGTGTCTACCCAACTTACCTGGACTGTCTTGCCTCAGGGTTTTAGAGATAGCCCCCACCTGTTTGGCCAAATTCTAGCACAAGATCTCTCTCTTCTACATCTTAAAGATACACAATGTATCCAATACATAGATGACC